ACCAAGAGAATTTTTTTAGTACTTTTGATTTAACTTTTTGGATTATTTGTTTATAATTTTGTAATATTTTTTTTGTTCTTTAATGTAATTTTTAGGTTATTTTTCATAATTTTTTATTAATAACAATTAAAGTTAGTTTTTAACTTTTTTTAAACAGTGTAGCAACAGCACATCATTTTTTAAATTTAAAAAATTATATATTAAAATAAGTTAAGATTGCACTTATAATTTAAAGATTAATTTATCGCTGAACTTTTCAATTTTTTTGGCCAAATTAAATTGTTTGAAAAAAGTGCAGATGATTTAATGGTTGGATATATTTGTGTTGAAATGCATTGTTGTGAATAATTACTTTTAGGAGAAAGGATGAAAGAGAGTAAAGATTCCGCAAGCATAGGCTCCTATTCATATGCTTCAACGAAAGATTACTGAAAATCAATTGCAAAACCAAAAACAGCTCATACCCTTTTTTGGGTCCCTGGATTAAAAATGATCTCAGACTTTTATTCACGCAGGAGCTATTTATCCTTGCTAATGGATTTAGGCTGCGGCCTTCTTTTTTTTAAAAAAAATGGAGGGTAAAAGGGTATTTTGCTTCTGCAATATTTTTTTAAAGAGTATCCAATACATTAAATTATTGGTTGAAATAATTTTATTTTTAAAGTAATTAAAACAAAACATTTTTATCATTGCTATCAAATTCCGAACATTTAAAAATACAAATTGGGATTTTAAATTGACCGTTGATGGATATAATGACAAGGACAAAAATTTTTCATTTTAATATTTTAAAAATAAAATATTTTAACTAATAGTTTTAAAGTATTTTGTGATCCTCGAAAATATTTTAAAGATAAAAATGTACTTTTACTTTAAAATGAATGCATAAATAAAGCTTATTTACCGACCAATGAGATCGAATTGTGTTCAACAAGGTATATTAATTTTTTATAACATAATAAATTAATGTTTGAATTTTAATTAAAAAAAAATGTTCGTATTTAGTGTTCAATTATGTATAGAATAGAACTGCCTCCAATAATTATAGAATGATATCTGGGAACAAGAAAAACATATTCATTGACATAAAATATTTAATTCTTGAATAGGAAAAAATATATATCCGTTGTTGCTTATAGTTTTGTGTTATTTGCAATTACTTGCGTACTCCACAGTTTTATGCAGGTAATTAAATAGATAAATGAAAATTGAGCATATAGTTTTGTGTTCTTGCTTATAGCTTTTAAAACTGGCTAGCATGTTCTGACTGAAAATTAACATTTAATTGATAACAAATTAAATAGATAAATTAAAAAGAAATTAACATTTTTAAAATTTTATCTCTAATATAATCCTTTTCCATAGGGAAATAAACGCAGGCAAACATGTCAAATGTCAATAATGTTATACTCAAGCCCAAGATTTTTTTTTAGGAAGAAGATGGCAGTGGTGTAAGACAAATATCTGTTGACCAAATAAAAAAAGAAACCAACACGTCATGTAATGAATTGACATATAGGAACGATATAAAACTAACACTGTATGGCATGTCATGTTGTCTATGAGTCTGTGCAAATAACGTTCAAGTGCAACGCATCAAGATTTGCATTTTGCAGTACTTCTTTTTATTCTATTTATAGAGTGTATTTTAAAAAAATTATTTAATTTTAAAAATATTTATAAATATTTATAAAATTATTTTATAAAAAATAATATTATATTATTTTTTAAATTTGTTATATAAAATATTTAAAATTATACACATTTATATTTTTTAATATTAATGATGCTGATAAAAATAACTTATAAAAAATTTAAATTTTTTTTAAGTTATAAAAGTATAAAATATCAAAAATAACAAGAATGCAGTAAATATAATATTTATTTTTTTGAGTTGGACTGAAAGTAAGTATTTTTTTATTTAAAAATATATAATATTTTTAATTAAATTTTATCTTTTAATAGAGTAATTATCTACTTTTCAATTATTTTTATATTTTAATATTTATTTTTATTAATATTATATAATAATATAAAATTATTATTAATAGAAATACTTTTTTTTAAAAAAAATAATTATATTTTAAAAATTAAAAATATTTTATATTTTTAAACATTTAATTTTAAGCGAAAAGAATATCTATTTTCGGAAACACCGACGTGGCGACGGTCTTGAGACCTAACCTGTGAACCGCCCCCTGATTTTCTGTGTCTGATCCCTAAAGGCCTAAACGGTAATCCTTAGCCGATCTGCTCCTGCAATTTCCTCATCTTTGCTCTCTCTGATCCCTAATTCAATTCCTTCCCCACTCCTCCAAGTTATCATCTTTCCTATTCTTGTTCTACCTTCGCCTTCTTCTTCTTCTTCTTCAATTCTTAATTCAATCCCATGCCTCCTCCTAGTCCTCCTATTCCTCACCATGAACAAAGCCAACCAAAACCCAGCCCCAGGCTTCTCTCCATCTTCCTTAAAGCCATCATCATGACCCTTCTCACCTCCGTCTTTTTCATCTTCCTTGGCTTCGCCGCCTTCGTTCTCCTCCATCTCTGCTTCATCGGCGGCATCCTCCACCGCCTCCGCTCTCGCCCCACCGTCCAACTCGGGGCTTCCTCCAATGGAATCGCGCCGCGTGACGTAAAGAAGCTTCCCCACTTCCGGGTTGCTAGCGGGACCGAACCCGGACCCGAAACCCAATGCGTTGTCTGCTTGGACGGCTTCCGCAGCGGCCACTGGTGCAGAAAGCTCGCCGGATGTGGTCATGTGTTCCACCGGAGATGTGTGGATACCTGGTTGGTGAAGGTGGCTGCGTGTCCTACGTGCAGGACACCTGTTCGATCAAAAGCAGGAGGGGATGTAGGTTCGCGTCTAGATGTCGATAGGGATGAGGCTATGCGACTTCGAACATCCAGTAGGGATAGTGCTTTTAGGATTTTTTAACTTGTAAGTTGAATGTTTTCAATCTTTGTACTATGTAGGGATAATAATAAGTTTTCCCCCTATGTACAGTATGATATGCGTATTTCTTCTTCTAAATTTTTGTCTCACTTTTCTCTTCGATTTGGTTGTTCATCCATTTTGTATTTTCTTTCTTTTGGGGCTATCCACTTCACCGCTTGTATATATAGGTATGATTTTGCGTTCAAAGGCTAGTGATAAGAAAACCATTGGTTGTCCTTATTACTACTTTAGTGGCATCGTCATTATGCAACGCTAGGGATCCAAATTGTGAGCATTTGTTCTTATATGCTACTCTCAGTTTTAGGACAACGATTCTGTAGTCTTTATTTCTGCATTACGAGTTCTTGGACCAAACAGTTTCTTTCTGTGCATACAAATTAAATTGCAAAGACACACTTCCCTTTATAGTGGAAATCCCACTCTTGCAACTGATGATTCTTTAGAGAGTATTTTAGCGTGTATTTGATGCTTCATACAGGGTGCCGTTAACTGACATCCCTCACACACCAAAAAAAAAAAAAAGAAAAAAGAATTGTGACATTTTGCTATGAAATGTCCTCGTTTTACAGCCGTCAATTCTTTCGTTTGCTTGCAAAAAGCGTTATGAAGTTTGCGTAAGAATCGTAGTTTATAAATGTTTGTGTAAACTCCTGACTCTATAAATTCTTGAGTCTGGATGAACCGTTGAAGACTCATCTGTTCACCATAAAACTTCTTGTTGATCGCTTCTGGTTTTTAACTCTCATTATCTGACAATTGCTGATTTTTCTTTTCTCGGTCAGCTACCACTACCAGAGTAAGTAGTATTCTTTGGATCTTGTCCAGCTTGAATCCCCTCCTTCAACAATCTGAAGGCTATGTTTCGGAGGATGTGAGGGAAGGGAATGAAATGGCAACTGATAGAATTAAGATGGAATGTAATTCACTTGTCATTCTATTGTTTTGGAATTATAACGTGGCAGCAGAGGGAGTCATCCATTAATGGAATGGAGTAACTTGCAAGTTTTTAGCCAATGGGGATGCATTTCATCCTTCATCCGCCAGATCCAATGGCTGAAAAAAACTTTAGCCATTTCATTCTGTTCTGATCCATTTCAAATCCATCCAAGCACACCTTTTCTCTTGGATCAGCCACACTTTAAAGTCATGCTCTCCCATCCCCCATGGGGTATTCAGAATTTATTTTCCTAAGTGTTTCTAGGACTATAACCCAAGTTGATGAAGAGAGGCATGAACTTATTTACCTACTTGAGCTAATCCCTTTCGGTGCCAATTATTGACTATGACATGCTATACAATGATAAAAGGTTTTAGGCGTATTACTATGCGGTCTATGGTCTTTCTGATTGATCATCTGTGGAAGCTGGTTACAGAATTTGGTTAAATAGGTCTGAAAGAGTGGATGTTTCCATCTTACTTATCTTTTTACAAGAAAAGGTTGAGAGAATATTTATGCTGTTCTCGCCGGAAACTCTATGTAGTTTTCATCTTCTTCTGTTGAGGTCTTACGGTTATGTGGTTGTAGTGGTAATCCTCGTTACCGTATTGGCACATCAAGCTTATATTTAATTTGGCCCCCACTTGTTGATTGTAGCAGCTGTTTTTAAGCAGGGAGCAACTGTGCAACTAGCTGAATTTGCAGTTCACATTATATCTCACATATGGCCAATCATGATTTTTTATTATGGCACCAAAAATAAGTTGATTGATAAAATAATGGATTGTTCCTCTCAGCAACTGATGTGTGGCTGCTGTAATGAAATCCGAGCGCTATTTGCTTCCTGCAGGTGGTTAATATATAACACACTTTTTACTGTTCAAATGACTGGCTTTATAATTGTGCATTAAGTTGGTTGCTTCATGTTTAAGTTGGTTTGGTGAGGCTTGTTGAAGATTTATTTAAATAGAGTGAAGTAGGATCATTGATATTTTTTCTGAATCTTTAGGGTTGCTTGTGGCAAGTCAAAGTTTTGTTTCTTCGCTTACTGTCCATTGGAAGACGCAAGTAAAGATGGATAGCATGGTTGTGTTACTGTTTCACCTAATATGTTGCCACTTTAACTAGAACGAAGAATTTGCGGGGAGGGGGTGTGAATGACAGAACCTGTGGGGACTTGGGTTGATGTCAAAAAGCACTAGGGACATGCTATGTTGAAGGGAAAATGATATACTTGAAGGCCTTGTTTGGTAAATGGCCCTAATTCAAAGGAATTGAGATTGAAAGTAGGAATGAGATTTTAAAATTATATTTAGTATGAGGTAATAATTATAAAGAATATTTACTTTTATTTTATTTTATAATTAAACATAAATTATAAAAAGATATAATACCCTTTATAATTAATTAAAAAAATTACAACCTTACAACTCTTTTTTCTTTGTCACGATCGAACTCCCTCCCTCCCCTTCTCACCATGTTGTTGCTAAGTGTGGTTCCTTGCTTACTTCCTAGGACAATCGATTGTGGTTTGTCACTAATGGGTCGGCCAAATCATTCCCTACTAGCTCTCTCACTCTCATATGCTTCTCTCCATTACGTTCGTCGTTCTCCTTCTCTACACAGATCAAAAGTCGATCGATCATCGATGGTTAACGGCACTTTGCCATCAATGGGTATTTGTCATTGATGGGTTAATGTTGTCCTTCTCCCCTCGATGGTTATGGTACGTCTAATCCACATCTCTTTCTTTTGCTCCCCCTTACTTCTTTGTCTAGTTAATGGTTTTTTATCGTCGATGGTTATCATCTCGAACACACTTGCGTTGCCATTGACAAAGTGAGGCTTGTCATCAATGAGAAGGAAGGATGAAAGTTGATCTGGGGAAGGACAAAGGTTAGAGGCAAGGGCATTTATGTCCTAATAAAATCAATCCTTGGATTGTTTTTTCAACACCAGGGGGTACCTAGTATTGAGCAATCCCATTTAGATAGGATTGGGGTTGGTACTAGATTGACTAATCACTTATACCAAACATGAAAAAATTGGGCAATCTCAATACCAATGCCAATTCTTACATCCCAATACCTCATACCAAACAAGGCCTAACAGGACTTGGCTTCCCTCCGTGTAAGCCTCTTTGTTGTCACAGGGTTATTATTTTTTCTTTAAAAGGCTAACCTATTGAAATGTACAACACACCTGCTTGCATATTCAAGACCTTCTCTAAGTCCCTTTAAAGTGGGATGTAACATTGTACATACAATGATAAGAGGTTTAATATAGATAGTCCAGATTTACTTTTTTTTTATATATTTATCAAAATAAAAAATTATATAAATTACAAAAAAATTAATAAATTATGTTTAACAGTTTGAATAGTCCAAATTTAATTTGAATAGTACATATTTAATTTTATTTTTTTTATAATTTTTATAAATTAATTGTTTAAATATATTCTAAATAGTGTAGATTTAATATTAATTTTTAAATTCTTAATATTAAATTTAGGCCATTTATATTAAATTTGGATTGCGTAGACTAGTGAACAAATTTTTTTTTCATATATATAATTTTTTTATTGAGAAAATTTTAAATAAGGACTAGGATGTAACTTAATTACTAGTAGGTCTCAAAATTTTGAAATCTTATTTCCATAATTTTCAATTTATATTAGTAAATTAACAAATAAAGTAAGAAAATTAATAACTAGTGATACTATATAATAAGTTAAGGATATTTTAATTTTTTGACAATTGAAATTGTTTTATTTTTACCCCTTGGATTGAATTAAAATTTTAAAATTTTTTGACACCTGCTAGTAATCAAGTCATATTCCTAATTCTTATTTAAAATTCTTTCCTTTTTATTTTGATAAATATAAAATTAAAAAAATAAATTTGGACCTTTCAAGATTAAGAGGGAAGACTTAGGACTTATAATATTAATAATTTTTTTGGGCTGGTAATGGCAATAATGTCAGTTCATTACTTAGTCAATGCCTTAATTACAATCATTTTTGGGAGAATGACAAATGTTCCTAAGGAAATCAATTAATTCAAAGTAACATTTGATAAATTTTTAAGTGCCAAACTTTATGAATTTACAAATTTGATTCTTAATTTTGTAACTTCATTATAATAAATTTATAATTTATATTTTAAATTTTTTAAAAAATAAATTTATTTATTCTTTAACCATACTAAAATTTAAAAAATAAGTTATAAATTCATCACAATAAAATTATAAAATTGAGAGCCAAACTTATAAAATTAATTTATTTTTTTAAAAGTAATAAATAAATTATTTTATATTTACTTTAAAGTGAGATACCCTATTAAATATGGACAAACATGAAAAATAATGTTAGTTTAAATATAATTAACTATTTTATTATGAGTAAAATTTTATTAAAATATTTTATATTTTTAAGCATACTACATAATAGGCGCAAGGAGAAAGAAAATGTGTGGGAATAGGGAAGATATTCCATTTAAATAAAACTCCTGTGTTGTCATGAAAGTATGTACACTCTCACTCTATTCCGATTTGATTTGTAAAATTACATATACCACTGACATATAAATAGAATTTACAATTTTAATTTTTTTAAAAATTTTAAAATACCCTTTATTAACAAGAGATGGGGGGATAAAATTTATTTAAAGGTTGAAATAATAAGAAATAATATTAGAATAATTATCATTAATAAAATTTTATTTTTTTCAAAACATCTTATATTTTAAAATATTAAATTAAATAAAAAATATCTTGTAAAATATGTTGGATGGAGTATTATGAAGTGCATTAATTATGGTTCTATCATAAACTCCAACTGGAGTAAAAAGTCTATGACACAGAGATTGTGCTAAAAAGAGCAAAGAGAAATGAAGCCTTTGAGAACAAACCGTCTTTCTCTTCCATATTTATTTTGTTATAATCTTAGGCTGCTTGCTCATGGCGGCCCGTGACAGATTCTCACCGAACTCCTCAACCGTTGATTTCTCAACATGGCGGCTGCTTTCTCATCCCTATCTAGTAATTTAACCCAACTTTAATAACCCTATATTTTTTGTTATTTGCTGGAATTTCCCTAATAAAGATAATTATATTCAAAATATTGTTAGATGCTAAACATAACCATCTTTTTTTAAAAAAAAATAAATTTTAATTTATCACGAAACTAACTTTCTCAACTCAAGTAAATCTAAACTCCCAAAGGCCAAGAGGAAAAATATATAGTTATATATGGATTAGATTACTTGTTTATAGTAGTTAAATCCAGAAAATATTAACGAACAGCCGAAACAAATACCATTCGTGATCCACCTGTTTACCAAATAAAAAAAACCCAGAGTTTTAAAGTACTGCT